GCAAAATGGACGGTTCTAAATCGCCCACGACTCAAGCACATGGGCTTCTCGTTCGTTCGTGACGTTGTGCACTGGCCGTGAGAGCGAGTAATCGTCTGTAGATCGTATGCAACGAAGATACAGAATATCAGTTATAAAATCAATTTAGCATTTGATTTTAATACATGATGAGTTATTCTCTGTTCCTTAATTCTAACTGTCAACTAAATATTCATCACTCGATTCGGAGGCCCTCTAAAATATTTTACTACTCTCTGAGCCTAGATTGAAATACATCAGCTGTAAGCTGTAGAATAGCCCCTGGATAGCCGGGAATGTGAGTAAACATTGCTGTTGTACGCCACATGATCATAAAATAAATAGAATAGGCTAGAAAGAATCGTATTCTTATATTTATTTAGGCCAGCATAAACACCAATACACCATGTCATTTTCAATACATATGTGTATTGAAAATGACCAAAATTACCATCTTTGTTTTTTGAGAACTAATAAAATATTGATGCATCTTTCTGGCTAGTATTCGTATAAGTCACGGTTTTACGTTCTTTTAAATTCTTGAAAAAAGTAAATCCACAGATGTACAGCTACTGTCTTTTTTCATTATGGTCGGATTTTGGTTTAAAACATTTTATGTTTTAAATATTAACATTAGATTCAGAAATTGGGTATACTTTCTGAAATTTGACCATGATTGGAGCAGTACTGGCTGAACTGTGTCCGATTTTCTCCTACTACCAAGGTCTTGTTTACTCATTGTGAAGGCCGTTTAGACAGCATGCAGGCAAATCAGCAATCAATCATCCAACCCACCAGTGACGGTTTCTTCTATGGGGAAGAATTTCGTCATGTACTTAAGATCTAAGGTTAGGACAAGTTTTAATATATTTTGTCACACTTTTCTTTTTTTTTAACATTAAAATGCCTATTCCGACTTTTTAATTAAATTAATTAACTTAAAAAATCATAGAAAATCGGTGGGTTGATGGATTTTCACAATTTTTATACCATTAAATTGCATTTCGTTTTTCTACATTTTTTGATGAATGAGTCAATCTGTTTCATAAAGTTTGAATTTTCTTGTCAGGTACCTATAAATGACAGCAACATCAATGTGTTCTTTCAATTGAATTAATGTGAAACCATATTTGAAGCGGCAGTTTGGCGCAGCGGTTCAGGTTTGGGCTTTCAATCGTAAGGTCGGGGTTTCAAATCTCCGCTGTGCAGATTTGCATGTGTCCTTGGGCAAGGCACTTTAGCTACAATGCTTCAGTCCACATAGCTGTATCAATGGGTACCAGCAAACTGCTGGGACTAACCTGCGATGGACTAGTGTCCCGTCCAGGGAGAGTACAACTCTCATCCGCTTCACACTACAGAAACTGGAGATAAGCTCCAGCCCTATGAGCCCCAGTGGCTCGGAAAGGATTTAGTTTAGTTATATTTGAAGTAAATTGAAGGATATAATTTTGTGTGTGCTACTAGCTACACTACGCCTAGTAGTAGGCTAGGCCTAGACCTACTACTACCTAGCCTACACAGGCTAGTAGAGCCTTAGTTAGTAGCTAGGACCACCTAACTTCTAACTCCATGTAGGCCTATTGTTAATGTTAGGACTAGCCTAGCCTAGGGCCTAGGCCTAGCTAGGCTAGGCCCCTAGCCTAGGCCAGAACTGAGCAGCCCAACCTTAGGCTAATTTGGGCTAATGTAAAATAGACAAACGCTCTTTCAACACTTACCATTTAGGCCTAGGCTAGTAGTAGTATCAATTCTTAAATGCAAGAACTTCAAAAACAATCGTCACAACATGGATGTGTGATGATGATCAGACTAGATTCGAAATGTCTAGAGGGCGCTATCTACCCTTTTTCAATTTTCAATTTCAAGTATTATTTTCATCAGTCCGCATTCATATTTCGTTGTACTATATAGCTAAAATACTTAGGCCCTATTAGTATTTGATTGTTACATTGTTTTAAGTGCATTATTAGTTTTAATTAACAGTACATTTTGCTTAGTATTAAAATATTAATTGAAGCTTCAAAGCTCAATTTCAATCGTAGTATATTCACATTATGGTGTAATAAGTAAGATACTGAATCGTAGATTAGGTTTGATAGTAATAATTGTTTGTTGAACAATGTTATCAAATGTTTCAATATACATTTTGATCATTATAATTGCAATATTAACAGCATTTTTAAAACAATAATTCAATGTGAATATTGCCTAAACCATCGGTTCAATAGCTTTAAACTTATTTATTATCAATTATTTAAGGATAAATGATTCTGAGGCAAAATACAGTCCCTCCAACTTCGAGACCCCTCTAATTCGAGATCACTTTTCCAAAGACCCAATATAGCAATCTTCAAACTTCTAACACAAAGCTAGCCCTCTAATTGGAGAACAACCCTGAGACCACCCCAAATTTTCAGGTCCCAATGGTGGGCTCGAATTGGAGGGCGAACTGTCAAAATTTAAAAACATACCTTGTTGAGAGGATATCTTCTTGATGATACCAACTTTTATGTTCAGTGCTGTTAGTTTAAAATTTAAATTAAGATTAAATATGTTACCATTAGGCGGGTGAAGACATATGCATTCTTGATTTTGGAGCATATGAAGATATTAGACTTGAAGATATAAAATATTGGAAAATGCCTTAAATTTATATTACAAAAAAAGTATTATATTAAAGAAATAAGTAATTCAGTATTCAAAATAATTATTTAGGTCGTGGCTATTGTTACACCACTATACAATGCATTTGAATATGGGCTTTTTGGTTAATTTAAATATTTATATTTCCAACAAAAATTATCATTGATGATTAGTGCCAGAATGACTAAGGGAACATAGAAAAAAATATTAGATTTCACTCTTTTTTAAAAAAGAGTGATGAGAGCGGGCATTTTTTTTTTCCAGAACAATAGAATATTGCTTTTTTTAATTGATGAGGGAGGGACTGTTTTTATTTGGCAAGAATATTGTAAATATTGTATAAAAACTGGTTTAATTTTATTGTTTTATAAATAAAATGTATTTCCAGTCACAAAATTGCATCATTTTTTAAGCTTTTAAAATAAATAATGCGGCAAAAAAATTGTTAATTTTTATTCCAGCATCAAATTTCCCAAATTTTTGACACGGGCGGGAGTGATATCTAACAAATTTTTGTATTTGCCCTATTTCCTTATAAAGATACTGTATTGTAATATCAGAACTAATTATTTTTGAATGGTCTAAGAATAGTCACTCTGAATTTTGGATATTGATGGCTTCATTTGGTGGGTTTTTAACAGGCTAAAGAAATCTGACAGAAGGGTCATCCCATCTTGCACTGTGTGGGCAATTAGGGACAAGTTCCCAGAAGCTGTGACGACTACCCTGGGTTTTTCGATGCTATGATGATGATGAAATGGTCTTTGTGTTGCAAGAATTATTTATAAATTGTTATGGAAGTCCATCCTCATTAATGCAACAGGTCTTCAAGGATTCATTCTTTGAAAATTCATGTGACATCTGTTATCTTTTTTTTTATTTGACAATCTCATCACTCATGAAAGGAAATTTTGTCAGCATACTGTAGGCCTAGAGCTTCTGTATATCTGCACCATTCAATTGAACCTTCCAGGCCTAGTCTGTAATTGAAAGTGTTGCTATAGATGCGGATAGGCCAGCAAAATTAATTTCAAGAACATTTTGTTGTTATGTACAGTATGTTCCCAATGCAATGTTTTTTGTGTCTTCCCCACTCTCGTCTGATATTTTAAAATTTGAAGCTACTACAGTGAATTGGAATTTTGTGTACAGTAAATAAATGTAATTTGTTCTTTCCTATTCTTTACATTGGTGTAAACTAACTATAAATCCATACATTTAATAGTTTGATAATAAATAGAGTGTGTTAAATGCAGTGATATATATTGTAATACCTGACTGCTTCAATGTTGCTTTATTCTGCGTACAGTAAACCAATTTTATATTAACTGTGAGAAAATGCACTTGTAATAAATTATTTGCCATGTACAAGGATGATAAATTGTGTTTCAAAATATTTATTTAGTAACACCAGTAGTTTTGAATTTATGTACAACAATAATCAATAACCAAGTGAAGCACCAAAAATATGGATGTTGAATATCATCATGAAAGAAGAAATCTTGGCTATGAAGACAATCAGACATGATAAATAAAGTAGTGCAGTTAAACTCGGCTAAGATGATTTTGCCATACTCAATAATTCAATCTAATTTTACATGCTGAATTGTTGTGTTTTCCATTAATTAACAATTTATAAGTCGAATTTTATCTAAGTCGAACAGTTTTTCAATGGCATTTTGGATTCGACTAATAGGCAAGTTCAACTGTATGTGCATAGTAACGCAAACACACTTAAGTAGAATGTCATTGGTCAGTTCCATGATGGTCAATCTGACCTTTAGGGTGCACAAGTCTATGAATGATTGATTAATGTCGTATGATATTCACTCTTTTGGTGAGAGTATTAGTAATGTTATTGGAGTATTAACAGAGCAAACATATACAATACGACCACCTTAAAAAATGCACAATGCTTCTTTAATACCTCAAATATCAGTGTATCAGCCACGTTCTTGGTTAATAGATAGTAGCAATGATGAAACGAGCTCCATAAAAAGAAACTTCTTTAAAAAGTGCGAACATTTTAAGTATTCCCTGCCCACTGGCTGTATAAATTCTAATGAAGTTTGAATAAAACTTGTGTTTCCCTCATGATGGATTATATAAATATCTTTGTCCAAACAAAAAAAAAACTTTTCATATTGTTGATTGTTTTGACAATAGTCTTGTCTTGAATCCAATAAATACAAAGCAAATTTTATTTTCATTAGCTTAATATGCAGATCAGATCAAAATACTATTAACATTTAAATCTTTGCTTTAGAAAAAAGTACTTTGCTGTAACAAAATAAATGTACATATTCATTAAGATCACATTTATTTGTTACATAGAATTTGATAGTGTGGACAACGCTTTATATTAGATGAAATTTAAATTGATGAACCTTCCTTTGTTTTCTTCAACCTGAGTGTACAGAGAGGATCTGAAACATATCCTATTACAAACAAAAGAAAATTTAATATTAATCATCTAAGAAATTTTGAATTGGAAAAATAACATAAAATACAAACATTTATTTATTAAAAATAAAAATTGATAAAAAGCAAGTATACTTTATGGGTGGATCAAAGATATTTAAATTAAAGTTGTCATTTTGGGGAATTTGATTTTAGTAAAGAAATTGATAATCATAATACTAAACCTTAACATCTA